TGGAATTTGCTACGTGAAGTTAACAGAAAGGTAAGAGTATGGTTAGACAGTCGCTGAGTTACCGCTGTCGGCTCCAAGAAACAGATGATGCATGGCAAAAACGGCCATTAGGCGTTAGCCGTGATTGCTAGTACTTGGGATATAATGAGGACTTCACATTCTACATGCATATGATCGCTCAAGAGAATGAGGGAGAAGAAAGTGTATTGTGTCCGCCTTATGAAGTGTACTTCGGCTTGTGAAACCCCAACAAAGACACAAGTGGTAACGTTTTGCACGGTGACGTTGTCCATTAGCCTTTAAGCCACTCCATTCATATTGTTTATGAATCAAACGAAAAGGCATTTGTCATTTGTGTGTATTTCTTGGTGTTACCAGACAAATGAGTGTCAGAAAGGGTGCAAACCAGCAACGGACAAAGGACAAAAGTGCCTTTCATTCATGCCCTGGGTTAAAGGTCATTCCGTAACCACAGACGACGGGTGATGCACCCGCACCACTGGCTCGTATATCAAAGCATAATGGCTCAACGTAGTAGGAACACACCCGCCCACCACATGTGATTTTCATCCTTCGCGCATGCTGCCAGTCTGCAGAGCCACAAGCCACCGAGGGGTAATTGTTGCGGTTGCTGCATTAATAAATAACTCCGTCTGCCTGATATTTTGTCCGGCTGATGGAGGAGCCAGGCCAGTAAAACGGCTCAGGCATTTCGGACAAACAAACAGCAGCCAGCAGCTAAAAGAAGCGAGTCGCGGAAGCAAAGTAAAAGGAAGCTACCTTTCGGGCCATGAAAGTAGAGCTTGAGTATTATGGCTAGAAGACGACGAAGAGTTAGTGTAAGCCGCCAAATCAAATGGAGGTGCACCATAGTCTTATGTGTGCGTGAATGAGTAGGTCGTAGAACCGAACAAGGATTTCATTAGCGAATATGCACTCATTTGCAAACTAATTTGTTTTTTTGAGAGACTCACCTGGAAGCCAGCTGAAAATTTCGTTTGTGATGTCTTCAGGCAATTGAATGTGCTTCACCAGGCGCCTCGTTTTTCAGACGCTACGATATTCAAGATATCGCGATACATGTGAATTTTTGTAAGGTACTTCTCATAAAGTTGCAGAAAATCCGTCAACGGCCCACTACCGATTTCG